CGTGGTACGCCGTGCTGCGCTGTACGCCGCTAGCCGTGCTGCTGACTGCGCGGCCGGCGGGGCGGCCCGGGGCGGGAGGGCACACGCCGCCCTCATACTTATGCACGAGGGGCACCCCAGTCCGGCCTGCAGCAAGAAACCCTACGCGCGCCACCAACATGGCCCGCCACCCCGCGCTGGCCGTGCTGGTCCTGGCCGTGGTGGCCGCGCTGCGATGCGACCCGCCCTAATGCCCAGCCCGCCCCGACATCTCCATTCAGGCGGCGCTCGTGCCGCTCGTCCTGCTTGGCCTGCTCTGGGCCTGCTCGCACTGCGAGGCGCCGAGGCGCCCCGCGATCTGGTCGCGGCGATAAGCCGCGGGGGCGGCGGGATGAAGCGCTTCAACGTCTGCCTCGGCCTCGCCCCGGCCTCGCCCCTCCCTCCCTCCCTCCGGCGGACTATCTGTCGATTCGGCCGGCGGCGGCCATTAGTTTCGGCGGACCGAAAACTCGCGAATTCGCGTCGCTGCTTTGTATTTCCTGAGCGAAGTGCCAGCGCGGCAGGCCGAGCAGGCCGCGGTGATCCGTTCGGCATTGTGCGCCGACAGGGCCTCCAACTTGGAGGCGGCGGTGCGGCGGTGTTATCACTTCTCGCGGCGAGAGGGCTGCAGGCGCCCCGCCCCGCCGCAGCCTCTGACTAATAATTCATCGAGGTTCCCCTCCCAGCCGGCGATACGCCCCGACACCTTTGTGGCGCGGCCTCGGCCCCGGCCGCCCTCTCGCCCGTATTGGCGATTCGCTTTATCGACGCCAAGCAGTTCATCGTGTACTACGTATTGGGCCCATTGGGCCATTGTCCCTCCCTGCAGCAACTCCACGATTGCGAACAGTTCCCTCGTCGCTCCGTCTCTCTCGCACTCGTGCGGCGCAGTGAGGGTGCGAGAGAGACAGGAACGGCCGTCGGACTCGCTCCCCCAGCCACTTTGCGCGGGTGGCTCGCTAGGCTTGTCGCAGCCGCGTCACCGATCATTGTAGTGGGTGCGGTATCACGCGGCCGGGACGGAAGGGACAGGGCGAGGGACAGGGCGAGGGGACGGGGCCAAGGGACAGGGTGTTGTGGTGCTGTGGGGTGCGAAGGAGATGTACACGGCGACCCCCATCAACGCCGCAACTTTGGGAGTCGAGCCGGCGGCCGCGTCGTGGAGGGGGAGGGCGATATGACCGCTACTTCATGAATGTGTAGGCGTCCGGACCCTCGCCCTGCCGCCCTGCCGCCCTGCCGCCCTGCCGCCCTGCCGCCCGGAGAGAGAACCCCGTGGACCTGCAGCCCGGCGTCGTCGTCCTCGTCGTCGTCGCAGAGCCCTTGCTCCTCTCCCCCTTTTTCAGCTCCTCTCTAGCACACATTTCCTGACATTTCCCCTCCCCTAACTTGAATGTATGCCGGACGAAGGTGGTCGAACTTTTCGGCAGGAAAAACACACCGAGACTTTCTGGCCGGGCGCGCGCGGGGCGAGGGTGAGGGAGAGAGGTCAGTAGGCCCGCTGCTATCAGTGCGGGGCTCGGAGAGGTCGGGCCAGCCGGGCACTAAACTAGCCAGAGTAGGGGCGTTGTTCCCAATGCGCCCCTCCCACAGCAGTAGGGCCTCAGCAAGAGGGAGTGCCCTGCCCCGCCACGCCCCGCCACGCCCCGCCACGCCCCGCCACGCCGCGGTTCGATGGACTCGCGCCATAAAACTTTATTCGAATCTATCGTCGTGTTATTCGGTGGAGCTTTACGCGTGTCGTTGTGCCGGGACTACGCGGCGCTACGCGGACTGCGGGGCCGTGGGACTGCGTGCGCCGCGCGCCGCATGACGGCTGGGTGCAACACCACCGCCACTACTCTCCAGGGAAGGGGAAAACTTGAAACTTCGCCGGGATTCAATGAGCTTGTTTACCGACGGGGGCACGGCAGGCGGAGGAGGCCCGCTTAACTCGCCCTCACAATCCCGGCCAGCAGCCTCCACGGCCTCCACGGCCTCCCGGCCTACAGTCTGCACAGCCTACACAGCCTCCACGGCCCGCCCGCTGCTCGGTGGCCGATCCGGCTTCCTTCCGGTCCAGGGCTTCGGAACACGACCCTCGGGCCTTCCGCACTCCACACGGGGGAGGGTGTGTGCCTTCCTGGAGGGCAGGCCGGGCGTGGCGTGGCGCAGCGGCGCAGCCTGCCTACCGCGACTCGCGTCCGCATTCGCGGCTCAACTCGACTGATCGGAAAACAACGCGCGGCTCCCTGGACAGTTTAGCCTGTGCCGACGTGGCCGGCATTGCACGCCGCAGCATCAGATTTCGTTCGCCCTGCGAGGGTCGGGGGCCGAGGCCGAAGGGAGGGCGTGCCGGACGCCCCCGCGGCCCCCGCGCCTGCCGCCCCGCGCCCCCGCCGCCCCGCCGCCCGCCGCCCCGCCGCCCCCGCGGCCTCGGCCAAGCCCCGGCCAAGCCCCGGCCAAGCCCCCACCCAGCCCAGCAGCGGTAGTAAAACGCGATTCCAATGGCCCCTGCAGTTCGCAGCAGCGAGATATGATCGTGTGTGCGCGAAAGCGCTGAAGCTTGCGGGGCTCGCCCTGCCTTGCCCCGCCTCGCCCTGCCTTGCTCTGCCTCGCCCTGCCTTGCTCTGCCCCGCCCTGTCTTGCCCTGCCCGCTCTGGAGCCGAGCCTTGAACCGCCTGGAACGACTGCAAAACCATTTCCGCTCCCACTCTCATTTGTTTATTTTTTCGGTCCCGCTCTTTTGCTCCGTTTTGAAACGGGTGATAGGGCGGGAGTTATGTGTCGACGTCTGGCCGGACAGCGCGCAGTGCGCAGCGCTGCAGCGGGGCGCCGAGTGAAAGATAGGAATCTGGCGCGGGCCGGCCGTACGCTGCCCGGCTATGCCCGGCTATGCCCGGCCCGCCCGCTACGCCACATCAAAATTTAAGCGCCGCCATCAGTAGTAGAGGCAGCGCGGTGCCGCCGCGCCTCGCGCCCCGCCTCGCGCCCCGCCGACCTGCCGACCCAGATTTGGGCGCGGGAGGCCTCGGCGAGAGGCCACTTTTGCAGAGGCCCGCTAATTCGACTCTCATATTCATGGCCACGGCCTCCACGGCCTTCACGGCCTCGGCGCTTCGGCGCCTCGGCCACGCCGCCAGGCCGGCGCCAAGTTCGCCGCGACCGGAAATGAGTCCAACTTGACCCGAGCGGCGGCGGCCTCGGCCTCGGCGGTGACGGCCTGCGGGACACGCGGGGCGCGAGCAGCGTGGGACTTCTCAGGGAACGATTTCGGCTACGCAAACGCATCGGGTAGGCCTGCGAGTTGGCAAAAATGGGACAAAACACCTCTCCAGGCAAATGCGGCCGCGTCACTGACAGAAGAAAGGATCTCTGCGAGTGTAGTGCTGCGCCGGGGTCGCGCGCCAAGGCTCAGGCTCAGGCCCGGGGCTCCCATGGCTCCCATGGCTCGAGTAAGCCCGTCCGCCCCCGCGTCCGCCCCGTCCGCCCGGGGCGCTTTGATGACACACGCACACGCCCGCGCCGCCTGGCCCCGCCATCTTTCTGGGCAATTTCACCCTATCAATGAGAATTACGGCTTTCTTTGTGTCGGCAAGGCGCGCGGCACCCGGCGCTCCCGGGGGCGATTCCCAGCGCCGCCGTGTCTCTCTCGCATTCCCCGGGACGTCCCATGAGTGCGAGGGAGAGGCAGGGCGTCGAGAGCACCGTTCGGAACCAGCTGGGCTGGAGGCACACCAGGCTGCCACCCTGACGACCTAGTCAAGGAGCCGGGGCTTCTGCAAGGCCGATCCGTCGGGCTGTCCGTCGTCCGTCCGTCCGTCCGGCCGTCCGCGCAGAGCAGGGTATTCAAGGAGGAGCGGAGGAGCGCGGACAGAGAGCGAAGGAGCCGGAAGGGGGAGAAAATGGCCGTGATTTCGGTGCGGGTCTGGACGAGGAAGAGACAAAGGGGGAATTGTCATGGTCTGTGAAAACGGCGCGGTGGAGGCGGTAGATGAGGAGGGCCTCGAGGAGCGGCTGGCGGCCCTGGCCGCTGCGAACGGTTCGACGGCGCGAGGACGACGCGCCGCGGACAAAAAGGCCTTCGGGGACAAAGAGGAGGATATGCATTGAGGGCGGCAGGCGCGGCGCGGCGCCGGCGAGGAAGAGAAAAAGAGCGATAGCGACTCTTTTCCTCTGCCGGTCCATGCGTCACGGAAACAGCTGTAGCTACTCCTCGGTGCGTGGCGCCACGGCGTGCCACGGCGTGCCACGGCTGGAGTGGCCCGGGGCCGGGACCGCCGCGCCCCCGACGCCCTGCCCCGCCCTGACGCCGCCGCCGGCGAGCCGCGTGCCGCGGGACGCCCACCGCTTGGAGTAGGGCGCCGGAAACACAATATTTCACTTTGGCCCATAAAGCGCGTAGCGCGTCGCATGTATTGTGCAGCCTAGCAGCCCCATTCGAGGCCAGTCGGCCCGAAAATTCGCCTCGTTTTGCAGCCGCGGCCACTGCCTGCCACTGCAGGCTAGGAGGCCGAGAGGGCCTCTCGAGGGAAACATGGAGCAAGTGCAGCCCCTCGCTAATGGCCTGGATCACGAGGAGTGAGCCCCGCGTGCCGCGCCGCACCACGCGCGGGGACTAGACGTGGGCTGCCTGCACGGCCCGCACGGCCTGCACGGCGAGGCGGTCGGCACGCCGCCAGGGCGTCTTGGCCCGGCCCCTGGCCCGGCCGCCGCCACCGCACCATTTGCATGACAATTGAAGACAAATGCAATTTGCGGATCTTGTCCAACTTTGCGCGCTGTCGCTGTCACCGTCCCGCTGGATATAAATGATTGCGAGTAGTGCTGGATATAAATGATTGCGAGTAGTGGCTCAGCACCGCTCAGCGTGCGCCGGGCGACCGAGCCGGCCAGAGCATTAGGCCTTTCTATTTTTAGACCTCACTTTTCCCTTGCTTGATATTGAGTCAAAATACTTGATGAAGGTACGATGGAAGTCCAGGGACTCGAACCCCGCTTCATCAGTGGGAAACTGTCAACCCTATTTCATCCGAAGCAATTATTCATTAGCTGTCATTAGGTAAAATGACAGACTCCGTTCTCGGCCCACGGCCGCGGCCAGGTTACCCTAGACTGGACCTCTGCCGCGCACAGGTCGGAGTTAGACTATAGGTATCGACTTATCGAGTTACTTTTCGACGGTGCGCCGCCACAGTGGCGCGGCGGCCGCGTGCACCGTGCACCGAGATGCGAGGGGACGCGGGTCCTCCACGGCGTTCTCGGCGAGCCGAGCGGAGCCGAGCAAAGCCGAGCAGGGCGTGGGGCCTGGCGCAGCCGAGTGACCGCTCGTGTGCGCCGCGCGGCCCCGGCCGGCAGCGGGGCAAGGAGGTGGCTGCGGACCGCTGCGGAGCCGCGGACGGCAAGCCGTCCAAGCGCGCCGCTAGCCGCTGCTGGCCGTTGGCCGCCGGCCACCGCATCGGACGGGGGAGCCACCGCCACCGCCACCGCCGGCCGCCGCGCCCCGCCGCGCCACACCGCGCCACACCGCGCCACACCGCGCCACGTCAAGATCGGAAGCCTGACCGCCGAGCCGCGCCGCGCCGCGCCGGCCGCGGGCCCCGCCACTCTCTCGCGGTGCAGCCGGGCCGTTGGACGGCCACCTCCTCAAGCTCTCCGAGCTCCTCGTCCCCCTCCTCAGCCTCGTCGACGCCCACGGCCGCCGCGCTTCATTCATGCGCCACTGGCCGCCGTGGCCTCGACCTCGGCGACGACGCGTCGCGACGCGAGCCTCCCTAGTTACCGCGGGGCTCGGCACTGTAAGATCAATGTCGAGACGGATATAACCGCGGACGAATTTAGGAGCAGGTAGGTGGGTGAGGGTTTTCGGGATTATCCGGTAAAGCCTTCATCGCCGTGGTATGGCGGTGACGCTCGCGGTGAGCCGTCTCGATGACTGCGCCTGCGGCCGCTTCAAATATATTCTTTTGCGTCACACGTGTGAAAAGTCCGCGGCAAGAGCATTCCTCGACGAAAATAGGGGGACAGTGGGGCTCGGTGGAGTGAGAATGTGGATCCTGCCTGTCGCACTGCTACGGCAGTGTGATTTCCTCGCTGACACACTGCGCTACAGCTGACCGCCGGGGCGGGGCGGGGTGGCTCGGCGGCACTGGCACCAAGGCCGCCGCGCCACGCCACCCAGCCAGGAATTCGCCCACATGCCAAGAGCGCCGGGGCGGGCGGCAGCGCGGCAGTGAGGAATTATTACCCGAGCATGATGCGAGCCGCGAGCGCCACCCTGCGCGGGACCCGGGAACAAGGAGGACCGTGCAAAGCGCGGACGTGGTTCGCGAGTCGACTGTACCGCGGGACCGCAGGCACAGTACTCTGCAAGCGCGGCCGCCGCGGCCGGCGAGGTACTCACCAACCACGCCGTGCTTGTGGTGCCTCCGGACGCGCCGCCTCGGCGGCCCGTGGCCGCTGCTGCAGCTGCTGCTGTTCCTGCTGCTGGTCGTGGACGGCGGCAGCGAGGACGTGTCCACGAGCAGCCTGCCGCGGTGATCGTACAGCTGCACGGCGGGGATGACCAGGGCGGGCGAGGACGCCGACGTGCGTAGCTGCCACTGCCAGTCGCCCGGTTTGCGCAGGCTGAGCCGCAGGACATTTGGCTGCTGGTGCTGCTGCGGACTTCCGGGCGGCTCCCGGTAGATGGACGACGCGGAGGACGACGACGACAGGAGGCGGCGGCGTCGCGGCGACGAGGACCCGGACGACGGCGTGCCCGAGGGCGGCAGCGCAGCTGCGGAGCAGCTCGTCGGCAGCGTGAACCCGGAGGCGTCGCGCCGGGGACGGCGAAGCAGGGCGTCTTGGTGGACGCCGAGGCGCACCCCGACGCCGGGCAGCTCCAGGTCGATCATCTTCAAGTGTAGACCACTCGGGGGCGGGAACCGCTATGGGAAACGCGACGAGAAAGTCAGGCAGGGCGCAACTTTGGATTTAATGGCCGCCGCCCTGAGAGAGAGAGATGGCGGTTTGAATTACTTCCCGAGTTGTGTCCGCGACCTGGAGGGCGGGGGAGGCCCAAGCAGCGGCCCGGGGGGGTGTTTGTTTTCGTGGCGGCCAGCCAAGTGTTATGCTGTTGACTGTTTGATCGGCCGGTCATGCGTGTCCCGCTGCAGCGGCCCGCGGCCCGCCTCGCTATTTTCTGCGATCGCTTTTTGTTTGCTTTTTCGCGCCTCGCAGCGGTGAGCGGCGAGGATGAAAATAAAACCGCGGATTAGGGACCCGCCCCGTCCAGGGTCAACGGCACAAACCTTCTCCCACGGATCAGAAAATAATATTTTCGATTATTTTTGAATTGGAATACCGTTTTGCAAACCCTTTTACACAACAACAGCCGTTAATTGAAATACAAAGCCCTGTCTAGCCAGAACGCGGCGGCTGGCGAACCCCAACTTGACGCTTACACTACTTGTTCCTCGGTTCGATCGCGTGACGCCGTTCGCGTGGCTTTCGTGCGCGGGGCGGTTCGCGCGGGGCGGTTCGCGCGGGGCCCGCGGTTGGCTGCCGCGGCGCCGGGCCCGCGGTTCGTTTCGGTTCGGCTCGAGCGGGGTACTAAGCGGCCGCAGCGCCGCGTCCCGCCAGCAGCCTCCTCGACGGCGCGGCCAGGCGGCCAGGCCGCGTCCAAAGTGCGGCGCTCCTCGTCCTCGCCAACGCCGCCGCCGAGAAGGCGAGAAGGACGAGGCGAGTCTAGCCAGTCGAGGGAAGGCCGGCCGGGCCGCGCTGGCAGCCAAGCCATTCCGAAGAAGCGCTGACGAGCCACGAGTGCGACAAAGACAGACCGACGGAATGACTCTTCGCAAGCAGTCTGCAGCCCCCCGCGCCGCGACGCGCCGCGACAAGTGTCGCGGCGTTGTTCTACTGTCACCGCCACTAGGCCGGCGAGAACAAGGCGACGACTGTTGTACCAGTGTCGGTGCCGAGTTGTCGTCCCTTCGGGAAGCTTCGCCGGAGTCGAAGTTCTCACCGGCGGGGGAGCTAATTTCTTGGCAGCAGTGCGTCATACACACCGGCGAGGCGGCACAGCACTGGTAGGAGTACTAGGCAGTGGTGCGGACCAAGGGCGCGACGTGCCTTCGTCTGCGTGCGTCTGTCGCCGCCTCCCTTTGGCAGGCACTAATTATTCCACACACACGCTCACGCACGCACACACACTTTCAAACTACTCCCGGGATGCGCGACGAGAGGGCCGCTCCGGTTCCCGCAGCAAATAGCGACCCGCGGTGGTTCGGAGCGCTGCCGGGCCTCGCCGCGCTGCTGGAGCCGCGGAGCCGCGAGCGAGAGAGAGACGTCAATAGCGGCCCGGAGGAGACAGCGGGTGCGAGAGAGACGCCCTGTCGCGCCATGAATCAACGCCTCGTGAATAGCAGAGGTGGCGCCTTGCCGCGGGCTGCTCGAATTTACTGCCCCGGTACCAGGCTGATGCCTTGGCTGATGCCTTGGCTGGTGCCTTGGCTGATGCCTTGGCTGATGCCTTGGCTGATGCCTTGGCTGATGCCTTGGCTGATGCCTTGGCTGATGCCTTGGCTGATGCCTTGGCTGATGCCTTGGCTGATGCCTTGGCTGATGCCATTTGGCTGATGCTCTTGGCTGATGCCTTGGCTGATGCCGCTCGCTCTGTCTCCTGCGCTACTGGCGACTGCGGTGTTCCGCTAGGGGGCTGGAAGTGCGTCTGGTATTTCGCGCCTTGCGGGTTATGGGCGAGCCATTGGCTGAGCTCAAGCGTCACAGAGCGTGTGCCACGTCCGCCCAAGCTTGTCTCCTGCGTCTCTGGCGACCGATCTCAGCTGGAGGGACTGGCGGCCTTGCGAGTGGGGGCTGAGCCGGTCCAGCGACCGATTCCGAAGCGTTTCGTCTCGTCTGCAATCGGCGCTCGGAGTGCACTGGACGGAGCGACGGGAGCTCTCGTCTGCAGTGGCGTCCACCGTCCACCTGCACGTCGTCGGGGTTGTTTGCATTCCGCCTCCGTGGCCGAGAGAGCCAGAGCAGGGCCGGACTGGCGGGACCTGCGGGGCCTGGGCGGGGCATGGGGGCGCTCCGCTCCGAGCCGGGCGAAACGGAGTCGCCTTTTTGTCACTCTATTTAATGGGGAAAGGTGAACGAGTCGGGACAGGCTCCAGAGCACGCCGCCAGAAAAAGTGCGCGATTTGGCCGGACTCAGCTGCGAGTGGATGGGCACTTGGACGACGCGATTAGAATGAAAGAAGGCTGCTTGAGCCTGGCGGCCCGGGCGCAAGGGGAAGGGGAGGGGGAGGCTCTCCTCGTTCTGCTGAGCCCACCTCATTCCGAGCGAGTCCGGTAAGTTCCTACTCCCGGACTAAGACTTGTTGGGGGTTCGAGTCTGCTTGTCTAGGCCGTCGAGGCGAGCGCGGCCGCGGCAGGGCGGGCCGCAGGGCGGGCCGCAGGGCGGGCAGGGGCAAGGCTGCTGGCGGCTACCGCCACACCACCGCGCCACCGCGCCAGCCAGCACCAGCCAGCACCACACACGTTTAATGGCCGTGTTTGTTTTCCCGGAGTCCTGGAACCGTGCCGTGCCTTGCCTTGCCAGCAGACGGTGCCGCGAAATCCGTCTCCTTCGTCCTGCTGCTGCGGTGGTGGTAGGGCCCTTGCTGGAGCAGGGGGACCCTGGCCACGGGAGAGAGGGAGGAAGAGAGAGAGATGGAGGGAGAAGACGAAGACTGGGTAAAAAACAAGCGACTCAACTCGTGCACTTTCCTTTCGAACGCACCACACCATCCGCCAGTAGTGCGGAACGGGGCAACTTTGGCCATGCCACACAAACATCAAACAGCCACTCAGCCTCCCGCCCCGCCCTTCCCTTCGCCGCCCCGCCCCGCCCCGCTCCTCCCCTAAACCTCAACAAACGTTCGCGGGTGGCCGCACCCCAGGCCCGCCCCGGCCTCGGCCAAGGCGCGGTGCTCCCAGACTCCCAGCCCGGCAGCGCGGCGCTGCACCACTCCGCGATGAAATACGTCACGCCGTCGCCGTCTGTCTCGCTCTCTCTTCGGGAACCCTCACCCCACCTTCTCTCTCCGCCCTTCCCTCGGCCCGCTCTTCGCGTTCGTCTATCGGCCTCATTTTTCTTGCCCACTTCCCACTTCGCCACCGCCGCACCCACCCCCACCGCAACAACTTCTTTTTGAAGTGAGTTAGTGCTTTTCAGATCAACTCGGCCGCAAGTTTCGCGATGTGCGAGCATGCCCCCTGCAGCACCACGTCGGTGTGGGGCTTGGGGCTTCGGGGAGCGTGTGTCGGGGGCGACAACCTGACTCGGCGAGCGACGCGGCGACGCGGCGATGCGGCGCCAGCACCGCGTAGCGCGTAGCGCGCGGAGAACGCCTGCGAGGTAGGCCAGCCGACGGAGCGCTCGCAGCCCCGTCCGCCTGGTTGCCTGCCGGCCGGGCGCTCTCCGAGACTCAAAGACAATGGAGGCCACCGACCTGTCCTGGACGCCGCCGAGCTGACAATGGCGGCGCCCCAGCCGCTCGCCATGGCCGCGGTGATGAAGCTGCACGTCGGCGACAACGGCGTCGCTGCGGCCGCCAGGTACTCGGCCCTGCCGCTCTTGGCGCGCGGCGGGCGCACCGGCGGCCGAGCCGCGGCCATCCTGGGAGTGATGCTCCTCACGGCAGGCGCTGGCGGCGCTCGCGGCGGCCGGCCATCGAGCGGCACGGCCTTGTCGGTGTGCTCGGCGTGCTCGGCGGACGCGGCGACGTCTTGAACAACGCGACGGCGCGGCGGGTTGAGCCCTTCTGTCGGACCGCCACGCCGCCGTCGAGCACACCGTGGCTAAAGTGCGTCCGAAAGGCCGTCTCGACGCCATGACGCCACGACGTCTGACTCCCTCAGACGCGAAGCACGCGAAGGCAGAGCGGCCGGCCTGGGTGTCCGACGCGGCGTCCGGACGCGGCCTTCCCGTGGCCAGCAGCAACAGATTGAGGCAATCATAGGGCTTCCCTTAACGAGATAGCCGCGCTGGGGTGGGGGCGCTCTGCGGCGCTCTGCCACAAACGGCTGCAAAGTAAACAGAGGGAACATTTTAGCAATCGCCAGGAGGACGGAACTGCGGCAATTAGTTATGAATTACTTTAGAGTCGACGAGAATCAAGGCGTGTTGAAGAGCTAGTCCTGCACCGTTTAGATACAGACCCCTCGCTTTCCGGACATGCCCCGTGCTTCCCCTGCGCGGCGCTTCCCTCCTCTAGTGTCTCTGAGCGCGCGGAGTATAGCATCCCAACCCCCGGCGAACCGGCGCAATCGCCGCAGCGCACTGCGCACTGCGGGCCTTCCCCGCAGGTTTGCCGCATTGTCTTTAGTTTCGTGATACTGTTGTTCCATTTTTTTCTGGCGCAGTCCTCTACTAAATGTGTTTTCATTGTCAACAATTAATCTTCAATGCGAAGAGTTATCTTGATTGTTTCCGTTCGTGTAACTTTTTAAAATCCCGATTCTTTCCAAAACTAGCGGACGGGAACCGCTCAATCAAGAACAAAAAAACAACAACAATGACTGTGGAACCCGTTTTGCCTGGCCCGCCAAGGGCAGCGGAGTGACCGCGTGGACGTCAAACCGAACACGCTCGCAACATTGTTTCGCGCTGTGGCTGCCTGTGGCTGCCTGTGGCTCGATTCCCGTTTTCTGATGCTTTGTGAATGCTTTGTGTGCTCTGTGACGCCTCGCGAAGGGCCGCGTTGTCACGGACACACACCGGGGATGGCGCGCGGTGCGACCTGTCTTTGCATCGCCGGCCGCCGACGCGACGCGATGCCTGTGCGGCCTGTGCGCTGGGCCCGCTGGGCCCGCTGGGACTGGGCTCCGCTCCTGGTCGTGCTGGCCCTCTTCCTCCTGTTGGGACTGCTCCCCGCCGCGTCGCCGCGCCGGCCGTCTAAAGTAACGTAACGTCGTCGCTACCCCAGGCCCCACGCGCCACCGACTCCCTGAGCCAGTCGCAAAGCGCGGGGTAGTGACGGGGTGACTGTGTGCTGCTCCCACAGGACTACAAACTGGTGCTGCGCAATCTTTTCCTGAGGAACTGTCCAGACACGCCCGATGCCTACGCGAAAATAGACGAGGCGACTAAAATACATCTTCTGAGAGACGGTGGACAGCTCATCGACGTGAACTTCACCGTGGCGAAACCAGTGCGCAGTGTACGCGTGGTAAGTTCACACACTAAATCCTTATGCACCTTAAGCGTAAGTTACGCATGCCTCTTGTTCTTCTCGACAGGACTTTTAAAGGCCTTTTTTGTTGTGCTGGCTCAGGTGTCGATGAAGATCAACAAGTGCCGAGACGTGGTGTCCCACGACACGTGTGAGTACTTCACCACGTGGTCCTGGAAAACGGGGATCTGCAACATCATCGTGATGCAGAACATGGTGTGGTCCACCCTCGTCGAGGGCATAGAGCCCAAGCTTAAGTGTCCCATCCAGGCGGTAAGTAGAAAGTCGTAGCATTTCGCTACATTTCGTCGCTCGGTCTTTCTTTTCCCACTCCTACGCGAGACACCCCATGATGCGAGTGCGAGAGAAACAGAGCAACCGCACAGTAGGCTAGAAGCCCCGGTGGACGCGGCCAAAACTCTAGACGCGTGTTGAGCTCCAGAGTCGTTGAACAGGATTCGGACCGAACGTGTGACCCCACCAATGGATTGTCACACGTTCGGTTCGAGTCCCGTTTCACGACTCTGGAGCTCAAAACGCGTCTAGAGTTTTGTCCTCCTCTGGCCCACTGTGAACCGCTTTCGTCTGGCCCAGGGGAACTACTCCATGCACAACGGGACGTTTGACGTCAACAACCCCATGTTTCGCAGCGTGTTCGAAGCCAACGTGTGGACCGGCGTCTTCTCCGCCATCGACCAGGACGACGCCACGTTCGTCTGCATCGAGGGAGGCTTGCAGGGCATCAAAGTCCGCGCCCCAAGTTCCGCGCACTGACCCGCGGCTACTTACTTTAAATGACATTTATGTTTACGGCAGGGATACATTTTTAAAAGTACAGCAATGGACACGCTTTTACACTTTTGACTTAGATTTATTGCAAACGGAAAAGCACACCGTTACTAATACAGGACAACCACAATAAAACCAATGAACTGTGTCTGAAATAGACTTTAAAGTATTTTGAAACAACTACAGTAAAATTAATTGGTCGGTTTTGAAACAATAAAAAGTATTTAGAAACAAGAGACAATAAAAATAGCAAATCGGCTTCAGAACAGTGAATTTGTTATACGCATTGAAATAGTGACAAACTCAAACTAAATTAAGGTGACGTTGGATAAAACCACTTCAAATCCATGGCTGGGCTCTTCGGGCCCCGAGTCAGCCGCCGGCCAAGGCGATGGCCCCCTCGGCTTGGCCGTGGCGAAGGCGTCCAGGTTGGTGCGGACGTAGCCCAGCACCTTGGCGCCGCGGCCCTGGTGCGGCATCACGGGCTGCTCGTAGTAGATGCGCAGCGCGGGCGGCGCCACCCCCAGCCAGCTCTTGTTGGGGTCGTCGTCCGAGTCAGAGTCATCCGCGGAGTCGCTGTCGCCCACGTCGTGGCACGCCTGAAAACAACGAGTCACGTGAGTGAGAAAGACCGACAGCCTTGAAAGTTTTCAAGAACAGAATTTTTGTATTTTTATCATTAATTACAACGGGAAAAACCTACCGCCACGCCTCGGTCGGACATTCCCAGGAGCAGGATGGCGCCCGGCTTGAGCATGACTCCGTCAGGGCGGTCGGGCAGCTTGGCGCACTTGGTGGCAATGGCCTCGCAGCCCGCCGACGACGCCGACAGGTGCTGCCAGTCCCGCTCCAGCACCAGGCCCTCCAGGTAGGCGCACAGCACACGGCGCTCGTTCTCAGTCAGCCTGGACAGGACAGGGTGAAGATGGCGAGCATTGGACACGTCTCCGTGGAAATTAATAATGTACATCACCTGCTGAAAGCAAATTTCAGAATCAGACTGTTACCTGGAGGAGGCCAGCGCGACCTCCACGTCCTGCTGGTGGACGTCGTCCTCCTCGAGGCCCTGCCCCTCGCCGCCCCTCCGCGTCACCGTGACCCGCAGGCGCGGCGCCCCCTTCTGCACCAGCTCGTCCAGGCGCTGCAGCGTGCTCTGCGCGGCGCGGAGCGCGTCGGCAGCGCGGTGGCGCGCCGTCTCCAGGTCCAGGCGAGTGTGGCCGGCGCAGCCTCCGCTGGCCTCAGCGTCGCAGTCGCAGCACCACAGCCTGCACAAAAGAACCAACAAGTTACACATACTATTTCTACTCTGCTTGTCAAGTTTACTTAAAACACATGCGTAAGAAAGGGCTTTAAATTGCAATTAAAATTATCTTGCCTTCCTTTCCGTTGAGCTGAGTGTCTCTTGGGTGTCTTCGTCTCAGACAGTTTGGCTCCAGCTCCGCTTGGAGTCTTCAATTCCTTCAACAGGTTGCTCTCCGTTCCATTTGGTGTCTTCGATCCACCCCGCAACCTGCCCTTGATTCCATTTGGAGTCTTCCAGTCTTTCAGCGCTTTGCTTTCAGTTTCGTTGGGGGTCTTTGATTTCTGGAGTAGCCTAAATCCAGTTCCATTTGGAGTCTTGGATACATTCTGCAGCTTGCCTTTGTTTCCATTTGGAGTCTCCCATTCTTTCAGCACTTTGCTTTCAGTTTTTTTTGGGCTCTCAGATTTCCGGAGTAGTCTGAATCCAGTTCCATTTGGAGTCTTCGAAACCAGCTCCTTGCCCTTAGATCGGCTAGGACTCTTTGATTCTGATGAAGTTTCTGAATCTAATTGTTTGATTGTATTACCCTTGGGTGTACTCATTAAATCACAGACAGTTCCATTTGGGGTCTCCAATTGAACAGAAAGTTTCTCGGTCTCTGCTTTTGGAGTTCTCAATTCTTGAGAAGCATTCTCCTGAAAAGACTAAGAAAATTACATGAGGAAACAGATGTTACACAATTTCATACCGATTTAAATTAAATGAATTTCCTAGCTACCTTTAATAATTTGGACGGGATTTGTTTCGTGTCAACAACCAACTCTTCCTCATCACTCCTTTTCCGTTTCTTGGTGTCATCCATTCTGAGACAAAAACAAACCAATTTACAAATGCGTCAACATCAAGAAGTGAGGCAGAGGAGACATCTCTAAAGCCGGATCCTCAAAGCAGACAGATATGACAAAATTATGAATCCAAACGGAACACACACATTACATTCAATTGTTCTCAATATGGGTATCATTAAGGTTAGATGCTGTTTTGGCACCTTGCACCGCATGTCAGTTCGTTAGTCAACACATTTTCACATCAACACACTCTCTGACATGGGTTCGGGGCGGTTGGTCGAGGTTAGACCACCGGTGAGGGCAGCATTCTACTCACTTACAAAGCGATTTCAACTGAAGATATTGAATGAATGAATCCTCTGTGCTCTCTGCTGGAAGGTGCGGCTGCGATGACAGGTGACGATGCCCAGCTGCTCCGCTTTCGGTTTGTTTTGGTGGAGGGTCTTGAGTCCAACCTGCCGCAACCTGCAGCCCTGCCGCTGACAGCCAGCAGTGGCAGTGGCAGTGGCCGGCCAGCAGCCAGCCGCGCTGCCGCCGGCCGCCGCCACCGCCTGCCTTGGCAATGGGCGGAGGGGCGTGGAGGGTGAGGGTAGGAGGTGGAGGGTGGGCGGGCAGGGGGCAGGGTAGGCAACCCAGCGCGAAGACACGCTGTGCGGCACGGCCTGGCCCTAGCATGGCAGGCGCTCCGCTACGCAGCGCGCTTCGAGTTCGAGTTGAAGGACACGAGTCCGCACGAGTCACACGAATACACGATTGAGTTCAGAATCTAAGAGAGATGCTTTATTTACACAGGAAGAAGGCAAAGGTAGAGGCAGGGTGAGTGCGAGACTGAAGTAGTTGAACTCGCTCATTTCTTCGCTTCGAATTTCTTGGCAAGGAGCTCCTTGACGATCTTGATGAAGGGGGTGTTGATCTCGTCGAAGCCGTCGAGTTCCTGTTCACACCGCCGCAGCCAGGCAGCCACTTTGGGCTTCAGGGTCAGTTCGGGGAGTACGGCCTGGAACAGGGAATCGAGCTCCGTGAACACCACTTCCGATTGAAGGAGTGAATGAGTGCTTTCAAAGTGTGACGCTTACCACGATGGTGGCAACGTTGGCGACGCAGCAGCAGTCCGCGATGGTGGGGTGGTCGCCGACGAGCCAGCCCCCCTCGTGGATGATGGGCTCCAGCAGGTCCAGGGCGTCCTGCAGCTTCTGGATCCGTTCCGGCGGCACATTCAGGTCGTCGTGGTAGAAGATGGGCTCCTGGACAGCGAGGATGGTCGTAAGTGGTCTGCTTTGCTCTGACATCCTTGAAACGGCAGTGGTGCCACACTCACCACGTAGGCCCTGAACCTCGTGAAGATGATGGAGTTGTTGTAGTGCAGGCGCTGCTGCAGGGTGGCCCTCTTCTTGATGTCCTTGGGGTACCAGGCGTCGTTGCCGGCCTTGTCGCCGAGGTACGTCACGATGGCATGGCTGCGGAAAGCACAAACAAAGAAATACGGATGACACAGAGTAGAGGGAAACTGTTTACACCAATTAAGACCTACCTTTCCCAAAGGATGAAGTCGCCATCCACAAGAGTGGGTATGGTGTGGTGCGGATTTATCTGGAAAAGAAACACAGAAAATAAACAAACCCATAATTCATAAAGAAATTTTAACATGCGGTAAACCGGTCTTTTTTCTCGCAAAATATCAAGTCTTGAATCGCTTTGTGCTCGCGAGCACTAGCCTTGAGGTACTCCGGCTTCTGCAGATCCCCGGCGAACACGTTGACCTTCTTGAAGTCGTACTCGATGCCCAAGGCCTTGCACGCCATGCGCACCCCGCGGACCGGGGGGCTGGTCTCGGAACCGTACAGCGTGACGACCATGGTGGCGGGCTGAGACAAAGTGACTCGGCGAACCAGCGGAACCTACCTGCCACTCACCCAACCCGGCTGCAAAGCGATTCCGCACCGCAGCGTTCCGTCGCTCCGTCTCTCTCGCACCCCCATCAAAGGATGCAAGAGTGCGAGCGAGACAGCGTCGAAAGCGCTGTTCGGAATCAGCACGCTGGCAGCACTTGTCGATAATTGGCCGGCCATTCCCCCCCCTCTCTCTCACTCACACTCACTCACTCACTCACTCACTCACACACACACACACACACACACAACACAGACACACACAGACACACCCACAGACACACACACACACACACACACACACACACACACACACACACACACGAGAGCATGCGCCGTACCGTTGGTTGCCGGCAGCCGACTCAGAACGCGGCAGCTGGCCAGGAGGGGAACGAACTCATCACCACTCCGATCCCATCTTATCGCTGGCTGGTATCAGTGTGATCAGATGTCGTGTCTTTTTCCGGGACACAGTAGTTGGGTCGCGCAACGCGCGCTCGAAATCGTGCAACGAAGAAAAATGTCCTCTCGTGACGAGCTGGTTTTGTTATTTTGAGTAAATCAGATCAACCGACGAACCACTGATAAGATCTCTTGTTATCGCCCCTCCAAGTGGTTTGATGATGTCAGTTGCGTGACGGTTGTTTTGAAGAGTGCACTGCAACCGCAGCTCTCACTGGTGCGCTAAACTCTCCGATCTTAAACAGCCACGGGAAGTAAGGGCAGATGTGCGAACTAGTCAAAATTACCGCTCGCTGAACAGGCCAAATTACATCATTGTTTGTTTCTCAATGATGCGGTTTTTAATTTTTTCAATGAATTTGTTTAATCGAAACCTATAAATACGCAAATCGTTTTTGTTGTGGCGCAATCCTACTGCCGCTGGTCCAACTGGAGAAGCATCGTCTCGAACGTGGCCAGGAAGCCGACGACCTGAGGGAAAGCAGGTAGAGATACGTTATGAGACCCAAAATTTTCGCGCGTGATGCTGGCGAAATGAACTTCCTCGAGTGTACCGAGAGGAAGAACGGGCGAATGACACGGAAGGTGCCCAGGCCGGTGAGGGCGAGTGGCTCGGTGCAGACCTGCAGCGACAGCCGGAGCACCTGCAACGGGTTTCGTGAGCGGGCCAGCGTTGTACAGTGGGCCAGAACACACGTGGACGCGGCCAAAATCCCGGACGCGGAGCTCCAGGGTCGCTAAAGGTGATCCCACAAATGGGTCGGTCGGTCGATAGGTCGATCGAGCTCAGCGAATCATTATAGATCGAGCCTGTAAAGAGGCGTGGGTTCGACTCCCCAGTGAGAATACGTTTTCCTCAGTTAACTTCTCAAGCCTAGAGCAGCACAAGATTCCAGTACCGTCAGTCTAATTTTGGGCACATAACGCCTGTGTGTCTCAGTGGCTCAGGGCGTAGAGGCAGCGGTCGTCTCGAATGAGCTGGAGTCCTGCTTAGCGACTCTGGAGCTCGAAACGCGTCTAGAGTTTCGGCCGCCTCCACTAGTCCTCTGGCCCACTGTGTGTAGGCCGTTTGCCGGGGGAAAGCCAGTGTACGCCCTGCACGACTCTTGCCGTGTCGCCGCGCGCCTCCGCCTTGAACACGACGCTCTTCAGGTGGAGCCACTCCTGGTGGACGGCGGTGGTGTAGAACGCCACGCACAACAGCCTGATGCTCGCCGCGACGAAATTCGTCACACTTACAGTGACACTTTCTGCCCACAGTGCCCTGGGTTACAAGGAGAACAGCGTACAGAAAAAGAACAAGAAAAATATATGCCGCCCAAGCAGGATGACGTCATACAGGTGGGCTTCACCTCAAAATGTGATACAACGAGTTGCACAGGTAAATGCCGCTCTGGGCGTAGCTGCCGATCATCATGAGTCCAATCTTGCCGTCGACGAAGTCCACGAGGTCAGTCAGGTTCCCGTAGGTCCGCCGGGCTTCCTCCCAAAAGTCCGGCGTCGCTTCCTGAGGGGAACGGCGGCAAACGTCAAGCGGGCGAACAAGCGGCAGGGGGCGGTCCGCACCACCGCACCCCGCCCCCATGCCGCCCCTCACCTCGCCGGCGGCCGGCCGCAGAAGGGCGGTGAAGGCGCGCAGGTTCTGCGTGAGGGCGTCGCTCACGACGGCCAGGAGCAGGTCGCTGACGGTGTACAGGCCGAACAGGGCGGTGCGCACCAGCATCAGGATCAGCCTCTCGCGCGGCGTGAGGCGGGGGTAGGTGTACCACGTCTCCAGCAAGAGAAGCAGCAGGGCCACTGTCAACATGGAGACGAGTGGCGGGGCGAGTCCGAGAAGCGCCTGTGGATCCCGGGTAGGCAACTTCCAGCTCGCGTGTTGGCTGGGTTGCCTACCCTGGGGCGTTGGCGTGGTGGCTCGGCCGCGGCCGCTGCCATGGCAGTGCACTGCCGCCACAAGACTGTACGTACGGGTGAAGCCGCCGGCAGCGACGGCCCCCAAGGTGCGGTGACGGCGGCGGAGGTCGGGGGCAATGGCCAGGACGTGTATCTGGGTGACGACGTGGTCGTAGGCGGCGCACAGCGCCCGCCAGTGCCGTGCCAGCAAGACGTTGGCCAGGGCCATGGTGCCGCACAGGAGGAGGGACATCATGGAGTTGAGCATCGCCACTGTAACTCGCAGCAGCGGGAATGAAAATGACCTGGCCAATGTTTGGCTCGCTCTCAAACTCGAGGAACGAATAAACATGAGCAATTCCTTTTCCTGAGTGCAGACACACGAATGCTGTCTTGGCTGCGGCTGAGACACTCGGTACAAAGGCCTTGCGGCCGGCGGTGGTCCGATTTACCAGTGTTGCTGACGGTTTGAAACCCGAACGAGCGCACGATGCCCCAGACGCCGAGCGCGGGGAAGAACGACCCCATGAACACGCAGTACGCCGTGGCGAAGCTCATCCAGTGGAACCTGCGACAGTCAGCGCGGGTCCACCGTCCAGCGTGTCCTTGTGCTCCACTCGTAAAACTGAAGCGTAGTTGTATGCTTGATTCAAGCATACAACTACGCTTGAAGACTTTACGCTTGACGTCAAGCGTAGTGAAGAAATTCTCCCATGAGTTTAGATAGGCGGGAGAGGGGCAAAATGGAGAACTATGCTTGAAGCTGAGCATAGTTCTACTACGCTTGAAGAAAGGCGTAAAAGTACGCTTGAGTTCTACCAGTGTCCGCTTTCCGCGCCTATCTGTCACGCACCTTCCGTCCTGCAGGTCCACGGGCAGCATGCCGAAGACGCGGGCCAGGCGCAGCGTGGGCCGCATGAGCGCCTGCATCGACCTGTCGGGCCTGTCGGGCCTGTCGGCCAGCTTCAGCTCGGCCTGCGTCCGCGAGTCGTCGGGGTCCTCAACTCGCCGCGGCGCCGCAGCGGACGGCGGCGGCGGCAGAGGCCCCGGGGGTGTCCAGGCATGCCATGCAGCAGGCCATGCCCTCGGCTGCGGCCACCTGGGCGGCGAGGACGGCGAGCACGGCGAGCGCATGGCCGACGCGTCGACGAGGCACTGCTTGTCCTCCTCGAGGCGCCGCCGTCCGCGACCCGGCGAGGCGATTTGGCGGCGCGCCCTAGCGTGTCCGCGGCCTTTCCGTGGCCTTTCCGTGGCCTTTCCGCACATCGAGAAATCAATGCACGTGCCCGCCTGGCCCGCCTGGCCCGCCTGGCCCGCCTGGCCCGCGGTACAGCGTCACTGCACGCGTCACCGACGCGCTCAGCGCACTCAGGGCTCGCGAGCCCCTGTGCTGCGTGGTGCGAGTGCGACGAAGAGTGTCATGAGGGGATCGAGGGAGCGCCGCAATTGTTATTCTTTTTTTCACGAGGGATGTATTTATGAGCAGACGGTTTGGAGAGGCGACGTCGGACCACTTCCAGACGTCATGAATAAGAAGCCACAAATTTGCTGTGATTTCCAGGGCTGCTGCTGCCCTCTTGCAATAGCACTGTCTGAAATGACCCCAGGAAACCGATGACCTGAAAGCAATCGAGGTTTCCTTGCTGAGTGTTTTGACTTGAGTCTATTTTGGTGCGTTAAGGTGCTTCGAGCTACCGATAGGAGGAACGGACGGGTGAGGCTGTAAACGCCGAGGCCGGTCAAGGCGACTTGCTCGGAAATCTGTGTAGAAAAGCGAATGCCCTGAAAGAAAAATCAGCATTACCGAAACACAAAAGCCTGCAGGAAACACGTTAAATCGAGGGCCGGGCGAAGGGGAGGTGTTACCGCCGTAGAATGGCACTCTGGCAGAACGCTGAACAGGACGGGCTTCAGGTCACGCCACTGCTGGTGAACTGAGGTCGTGAACATCCCCACGAAAGAGAGCCTGAGGCTCACGACAGCGAATTCCACCACAGATGCAGTGCTGCACGGCTGCACCCTTCACACAAAACATTCCAGTGGAGCCAAAATAAGAAAAGGGTCTGCTGACGTTGGTGAGCTTTCGGTGATGCTCAAGCACTCACTTTAGCATGTGAAACAACTTGAAGCAAAGATACAGGCCGTTGTCCAAGTAGTTAATGAACATGATCAGGCCGATCTTGCCGTCCACGAACGCGACGAGATCGGCCAGTCCACCGTAGGTCAGCCGGGCGTCCTCCCAGAACTCGGGCCCCGCCCTCTGCAATGGGAAGCCAGGCCGTCGTGACGTGGCGGACACAGCCTCTCGGCTCGACACGGGGCCAGAAGACCGGAGGAGGCGGTCAAAACTCTCGACGCGTTTTGAGCTCCAGAGTCGCTAAACAGGACTCGAACCAAGTGTGTGACTCCGCCAATGGATTCCCTCTTCGGAGACCAGTCAATTGCTGGGGTCACTCGTTCGGTTCGAGTCCTATTAGCGACTCTGCAGCTCAGAACACGTCAAGGGTTTTGGCCGCCACCACCGGTCTTCTGGCCCACTGTGGGGCGTGGGCCTGCTTGTGCACCTGCAGGGCGGCCGCTCGCAGGCGGACGCTGAGCGCGCGGATGGCCTGGGCCAGGGCGTCGCTCACGACGGCGAGGAACAGGTCGCAGGCGATGTACAGGCCGGTCACCGCCACGCGCGTCAGGTACGTCAGAGACTGCAGCAGGACTTGGTGCCAGGCGGCCTTGCCGAGCAGCCGGTGCAGGCGCCTCGGAGGGGGCAGCCGGGCGTACTTGGCGGCAGAGGCCGCTGAAGCACAGGCCAAGCAAGAGTAGGACGCGGCTACTTGAAGGGAAGGGACTCACCCAAGTACCCACCGATGAACAGCACGAAGCCCACGCCGTTGAGCGCGCGGTGGCGGCGCTGGAGGTCGGGCAGCCGCGCCGCGAGTTGCAGGTCCGCGACGGCGTCGTCGTAGGCGGCGCACAGCGTCCGCCACTGGCGCGCCACCTGCAGCGTGGCCAGCATCAGCACGCCGCACGAGATGTAGCCCTGCAGCTGGATCGCCTGCAGCACTGCAAGAAAACCAAGTCCGACTTGCCGCCCGGGAATAAGACGAACGCGAGCCGTCCGAGGCGAGTCCCGACCTCATCTCACCTAGCCTAACCTAACCTAGCCTAGCCTAACCTAACCTAACCGAACCTACCGGTGCTCGGCTCTGCGCAGAGCAGGTGGACAGCGGACAGGGCGGCGATGGTGGTGAGGTAGGCCGCGCTGAGGAGGCAGTGCGCGGTGTGGAAACTCACCCAGCGGAACCTGCAGCATGCCCCACATGGGTAGACAGGCCTTCCGTGCGCCTCTGCGGTCGAGCCCGAACTAACACCTCTCCATGCATGCATACCCGCCGTCCTGCACGTCGACGGGGAACACGCCGAAGACGCGGACGAGGCGCAGGGTGGGCTGCAGCAGCTCGTGCAGGGACACCGTCGTCGCCGCGCCCAACTGCACTCGGCAGGCAACAACGTCAACGATGCAGAAATCAAAAAACAGCCTCCGAGTTGTACTCGTTGTGAAATGGACGGTTTTCATTGGCGCGGTGCGCTCTGCGTACCTCGGCGTCGGGCTGCGGCGCCGCGGAGGCCAGTGCCGCCAGTGCTGGCGGTGGAGGACGAGGCCGTGGCGGTGACCGCGGTGCGGAGAGCCGCGTCCACATGGCGGACGGGCACTGTTTGCCCTCCGCCAGGGCGAGGCCGACAAGGCCTCCAAGGCCCGCTTTCGGCCACGGGTCGCCACGCCACGGAGTCAAGCTGGCGACGCGAGGCGATCAACCGGAGTACGCCTTCGTGGCGATCGGACGAGAAATCAATGCGCCCCGCGGATGGCATTCGCGTTGCTGGGGAATCCAACCCAAGTCCGCACGTGTCTTTCGCGCTGAGGCATGACGGAGCTGACTTGCAGCTGTACTCGCTGTACTACACTATAAGTAGGGTCGAGGTGGCTCGCGAACGGAACATACATAGTACAGTAAAACCCAGAACAGGAATCGGCATTTATTTTCGCTGCAGACATTTTTGTGGCATCTCAGTCAGTGGCGGCCCAGCTGCACGAGGATAGTTTCGAAAGTAGTGAGGAAACCGACGACCTGTGCACAAAACGAGAAGGGCCCTCAGTTTCAGGGACGCCGTGCCGGCACTGCACATGTGTCGCTACACTGTCCACGTACCGAAAGCAGAAACTGGCGAGTGAGACTGAAAACGCCCAGGCCGGTCAGCGCGACGTTCTCCGAGCACACCTGCGAGTGAAATCGGAGAACCTGTGAATCAAAACAGAGATGAGCCAGGCAATGATCCAGTGTCCAGCGTTGCCCGGGCAAATGTTCTCTTACTGCATTAGAATAGGACTCAGTTGGCACGTTGGACAGCACCAGCTTTAAGCCCAGCCATTCCTGATGAACGTTTGTGGTAAAGAGGGACACGAAGAACAGTCTCACCGCCACGAAAATTAAGTTCGTCGAATTTCCACTCGAGTTTGTTGGACGAAACCTTCGGGGAAAAAAGGGAAGCATAGAGAAAGCCCTTATCGGACGGAGCACATCGTACGGTGGAAGCTCACCCCAAAATGTAAGTTAAAGTGTTGCAGAAGTAGGCGCCGTTCTGGAAGAAGCTCAGGATTACGAAGGGCCCCATCTTGGCGTCGAAGATGGCGATGAGGTCGACTAGCTTCCCGTAGGTCAGGCGGGCGTCCTCCCAGAACGCGGGCGCCGCTTTCTGCAAAGGAAAGCCACAGCCAGCGAGTGGAGTGGACGAGCTCTCTGCGCTGCTCAGCAACCAAGGGTGGAACCCAACCTGCTCCACGGCCTCTCGCAGCCTGGCGACGAACGCGCGCAGGTTCTGCGCCAGGGTGTCGCTCAGGACCACGAGGAGCAGGTCGCAGGTGGCGTCCGCGCCGGTGATGGATATTCGGCCCATGGCCACGAACACGCGGTCGTCCGTCAAGGCCGTGGCCGTGTTGGCCAGGGACTGGACCACCCCGACCAGGGTGGCTGCATGCGCACCACATTCACTCTCGAGCGAAGAAGTCTCATTGTGTCAAAACAAAACCAGAGTCTTGATTACCGACTAGGATGGCGAGCGCCAGGACGGCGATGACGCGTTGACGGCGACGCAGGTCGGGCGGGGGCGTCAGGAGCCGCATGTGGGCGACGGTCTCGTCATAGGCCTGGCCCACCGCCCGCCACTGCCTCGCCAGGCGCACGGACAGCAGCAGCATGGCCGCGCAGCACAAGAAGCCCACGACGGAGAGGTACAGCGAGGCTGCAGCACCCACAGAGAGAAAGAGAGTTGCGAACCGGCCCCAGGCCCCAGCAGAAAGAGCGACGTTTCTAGCAGTGTACCAGTGACCGCGGCTCCCGTGGCTTTGTTGGAGTCGTTGGGTGTAAGTATTCGGATGGTCCAGCGGACGGCGGCGCGGAGAAACACCACCACCGCTAGGAAGCAGTGCGCAGTGCGGAATGTCGCCCAGCGAAAACTACAACATTTTCCGATTGTCATGTCAGACGTTCGTCAAACTTTTCGACGATTCCTGGGGAAGTTTCGTACCTCCCATCTCGCAGATCGACGGGCATCACGCCGAACATGCGGAGAAAGTACAGGGAGGGACGAACGAGCTCGCAGAAAGAGGTGTTCTTCATTACCTCGACCTGCAATCGAAAGTCGATCGTGACTTCCTCGCCGAAAAACAAATTATAAAGAACGCAAAAATGTGCACCTCACCTCTCGGAAAGGGCTCGGCGGGGAAAGGGGCGGCCGCGATGGCCACTCCTTCCTCGAGGCCATCGCGCAGGCTGTGCGGGCCGCGGCGGGCAGCGACGGGCGACTGGCCGGCACGCCGACGCACGTCGCCGTCAAGCCGCCCCCAGCGCGCCCAGCGCGCCCAGCGCCCTCGTCCTTCCGGAAATCAATGCACCGCCGCGATGGTCGAAAGCACGCCTGCAGCAGCCAGCGGTCTCATTCCGAGGGTCGCTTCGTCGCTGTCTCTCTCGCACTCATGGGGCATCCCGTATGGGTGCCACAGAGACGGGGCGACGAAAACGACTCTCGGAATCCGTCTGCAGCAGACAAACAAGCTGTGACCTCGCGCGGCCGTGCGCTGCGCTCATTGGTCGTCGCCGCCGAGCCCCCAGTCAGCCGGTCCGCGGGTCCGGGAGGCCGGTCCGGCTAGTTCGGCGGCTAGCTCTGTCTCTCTCTGCGCTGGGGTCCTGCCAGCATGCTGCCAGCCGGCGACGGAGAGGGCAGACCCGGCGGACCCGCCGCGACGCCGCGCGCCGCCCCGCGCCGCCCCGCGCTGCCCGCCGTGATAAGCGAGTGTCTCGGGGACACTGTCTCCACGGCGATGGGATTCCAGTAGTGGCCGCGTCGCCGTCGGGAGAAGCAGGAGCCGCGCCCACCGAGCCAGACGCAACGACGAGCACCATGCCCGGAGGACACGAAGAGGTGAGCCATCCTGGCGCAGCCGCGCAGCCCTGGGTTCGAATACCCGTTGCCAAGGCACTTTTCCTTCTCTGCGACCGCCGCGGCGGTCCAGCGACTCAGCTAGACCCAGCCGTCGGCTGGGCACGGCTGGGCCAGCGGCTGTTTTGTTTGGCCGGCTTCCAGAAAACTGTTTACGCTACCTGTGACGCTGCGCGCGCTGCCGCACTGTGGCGGCGCGTGCACGTCGGCGGCCTCTGGAACGTCCGGAACGTCCCGCTTCGGACACGCCCCGCTCGGCTCGGCGGATCTTGTTCGAGTCTTGTTTGTGCAGCGCAGCCCTGATTGCAGCTGCGGTACCTTAGCGGCTTCGGCAACGAGTTCAGCTCGGAGGACCCCCGCTGCCCCGGGTCGCTGCCGGTCGGACAGAACAGCCCCCAGAAATGCCCCTACGGGCTGTACGCCGAGCAGCTGTCCGGGACGGCCTTCACAGGTAATGTCACCCGCACAGTGGGCCAGAAGACCAGTCGACGCGGCTAAAACTCTAAACGCGTTTTGAGCTCGAGAGTCGCTAAACAGGACTCGAACTGGGCGCGTGACCCCGCCAATGGATTCCTCGTTCAGAGAGCAATCCAATGGTGGGGTCACACGTTCGGTTTGAGTTTCACCGACCAAGCGACTCTAGAGCTCAAAACGCGTCCAGTCACCCGCCCTTTCTGGCGTACGCACCTTCATTACGCGCTGCTTGCTAACATGCCAACCTCTGCCTCACAGCTCCCCGGCAGGAGAACCGCCGCAGTTGGCTGTACCGCATCCGCCCCTCGGCCATCCACGACCCCTTCAGCCCCGTCAAGGCCGGCCAGTGCCAGCACTTCGCCGCCGTGGACTGGAACGCGCAGCCGCCCAACCCCAACCAGGTACACACACTATCCCTCTCACTCACACACGCGCCTAATCAGTCGGTGAGGCCGACGACCCTAGCGGCGCTGCCACTGACTGACGCGCTGCCCCCTCTGCAGATGCGCTGGCTGCCGTTCGACGTCCCCGCCGCGGCCACGGACTGGGTGCAGGGCCTCCGCACCGTGTGTGGCGCGGGCGACGCGCGCACCCGCCACGGCCTGGCCGTGCACGTGTACGTCTGCAACGCGAACATGGTGGACAAGTGCTTCTACAACGCGGACGGAGACCTTCTAATCGGTACCCACCGCACGTTTCGTTAAATATTTCCGAGTTCTTTCCCATTGTGTTTGCCCTGTGTCACTTTTTGTCCTCTGCAGTCCCGCAGCAGGGCACTCTCCGCATCGTCACGGAGTTCGGCCGCCTGGTGGTGGCGCCTAACGAGATATGCGTGATCCAGGTACCCAGCTCGAGCTGGAAAATTAGCCTCTGTGTGTTTGTTTGACTTGGCTAACAAGGCACTGCTCTTGTTTTCCAGCAAGGCATGCGCTTCTCCGTGGCAGTCGGCGGCCCGTCCCGCGGCTACGTGCTGGAGGTGTTCGACAACCACTTCCAGCTGCCCGACCTGGGGCCGATAGGTGGGTTCGAGAGTCCGCGACAATCGGCGGGCAGGTTCAAAATGTAGGTGCTTGCTGCTCGGTCCTGAAAACGGAAAATGCCCTAAACAGGCGCCAATGGCCTCGCCAACCCCCGCGACTTCCTCACGCCGACGGCCTGGTTCGAGGACCGCGAGGTGCAGGGCTACACGGTAGCGTCCAAGTACCAGGGCCACGTGTTCGAGGCCAAGCAAGGCCACAGCCCGTTCGACGTGGTCGCCTGGCACGGCAACTACGTCCCCTTCAAGTACGATCTGGCCAAGTTCATGGTCATCAACGCAGTCGCCTTCGATCATGCCGTGCGTTGTCCAATGGTGCAGCTTGCATTTTAACGATTTTACGGATCGTTTCAAAAAAGTTCTTTACCTTTTGCGGGTGTTTCGCAGGACCCGTCGATCTTCACCGTGCTCACCTGCCCGTCTCACCGGCCGGGCACCGCCATCGCGGACTTCGTCATCTTCCCGCCGCGCTGGTCCGTGCAGGAGCACACCTTCCGGCCGCCCTACTACCACCGTGAGTGCCTCCGCGGCCACCGACCGGCACGGCCGACGACGCAAACTTAACCTCTTCCTGCTCAGGGAACTGCATGAGCGAGTTCATGGGGCTGATCCTGGGCCGCTACGAGGCCAAGGAGGAAGGCTTCATGCCGGGCGGCGCCACGCTGCACTCCATGATGACGCCGCACGGCCCGGACGCGCAGTGTTTCCAGGCCAACACGGAGGCCGCCCTCAAGCCGGAGCGGGTGGCAGAAGGCACGCAGGTGCGTCCAGCTTCCTATTGGCGCCTTCGCGCAACCGCCGAGAGCGCCGTGCGGCCCGGCCTGCCCGCCGTACAGGGCTGCGCGCTGGCTGCCTGCCCAGCCAGGGGCTACGGCGCCTGGGCAGGCAACCCGCACGCACGGCTGCTTGACGGGCCGGCCGGGCCGCACGGCGCTCGAACACAACGGACAAGTATGCGTTTCTGGTTTGTTTGCATGTTTGCGTCATGGCTTCGCCTTGCCCTCGCAGGCGTTCATGTTCGAGTCGTCGCTGAGTCTCGCCGTCACCAAGTGGGGCGAGGAGACGTGCCAGAAGCTCGACGCCAACTACTACAAGTGCTGGAAGTCCCTTCGCAAGCACTTCGACCCGACAAAGCCTTGAAGAACAAAAATTGCTAGTTTGGTGTGTCCGTGGGGTGACGAGGCGTGCATGTAAAACCCGTGGGATAGATCAACACAGTTCGTTTTAAATTGAAACAGAAAATTTAATAATATAATGAGTAACAAGATGTGTATACAACTGCAGAACAAAAATTCCAAAAACATAAAAAAATAAGTTGGTGACCAGACCAGGGAAACTGAGGTTTAATTGCCTCGAGGTGAAGCTATGTTCGTGAAGACCATGATGAAATAAGGGGTTGGCATCCGTCGATAGTGGAACCAATGTTCCGTGGGGGGAAAAGGCAATGGAAAATAGGTTTATTTCATCTACGGCATTTTTATCTTGCGAGCACAGCGTGCTTCTGACTAGAACGAAGTTTAATAGAAGTGGAAACATTCTTTGTATTCTAACCTTAATACGGTTCATGATTCTGAACTTACGGAATGCCAACACCTGGATAAAAATATTTTTTTAAAAAAAGCTACTCTTGGCCAAAAACAACGATGCGAAGTACCTCCGCACCAAATATAATAATATAATTCTCAAAATTAAAGTGAGAACATAAGATAAAATAAATGATCAATCCAGACATCCAGACACCGATAACATCAAGAATTTTAAAATTATAAACACATCTAAACCAGATCACTGAATAAAAAGTACTCACTCCGTATAAGAATTACAGACTGTTCACCACAGCATCAAAATGCTGAAACAAAAGGAGCCAGGATATGCCATGTTTCTGAACAATATACACCTTCAAAGTGACGGACGTCAAATTAGCGCTACGTTGATGCTATGGTAAACATCCACATTCATTAGAGACAGGGATATATTTAACACACATAGATATATAACACGTTTTGTACCGGGTGAGTCAGAGTGTTCTGACAAGGAGCTCCCATAGACAATGGTCTTGAATAGCGGTGGAACTTTTCTGTTCTCCAATAACACGGGAAATTCTTTCATTCGAAACTGAACCATCTGACTCAACAGATAAGTTTCCGGTACATAATAATACTGCCATCTATACACCAACACAGGCTGAGAATCAGCATTTACTTACAAATAATTACGTATACTAGAGATTCCCTACAGAATAACATCATCACGGTAGGACGGGGTGTTACAAGAGGATACAGAACACGGAAAGCACATCAAAATAATTATATGTAAACACAGACCTGATATGCAATGTCAAGGAGTAATCATGTAGATGCGACCTAAGAGAAGTTACACACAATATATCCTGTTGAGCTATACTCGCCTTATATCTGAACTCCGAAAGAAAGATTAAGATCGATTTTACAGTGTCACAAAAGAAACCCAAAAAATATCGTGCATGTATGGACTCGATTGAAGCAACAGTTTTCGTATCGTAGAGAAGGACTCCCTTTAGCACTTCTGAAACCCACTCCCGGCCCTGCACGCATCCACTCCTCCCTTTACAAAGAAGGGGGTAACTAGGGAAGGAACGGGCACGTGCAAGGGCGAGCGAAAACCCGTAAGGACTGTAACGAAAATGAACAAAATCGGTTCACACGGTTACAGTATATCGTATGACTGAACTCCGGTTTGGTGCCTAGCTATGTGGTTGCATTTTTAGGAACTGCTGTAGTCCCCTACACAAAGACAAGTTTTGTCTCGAATAAAATGCGACTTAGTCGCCAGAATATGGGCTAAACTACACATTGAACTTACGTACCACAACATCAAGAGGGAATAAAGGTGCCACTCGCCACCTCTCAGTGCAAGTGGCAAATAATGGTAGCAGTGCCACTTCTACATCGTAGCAGCACCGACAATAGAGAAGAGACGGACTTGAGATCGATCTGAAGATCTTTAGGACGAGTGAATAAAACACATTTCAACAGTGCTGATACGGTACAGGCACAAAATATACATAGAGCGGGACAAACAGTTTTCGGACGAATCTAAAAAATATTAAGGGGGTTAATCGCATCAAGAGGAAATTGGAGATAATTTCCATCCGACATGCATGCCACTGCAGTCGCCTTATTTACATCAGGTTACCATTAAATACTACACATTTCATGACAGATATCTGCCACATTATTGGTTCGGAAATGTAGGACATCACATAAAAACAGTACCACAATAGAGAAAAAACATATTTTACAATGATGTATAGCCCAAGTGTCTTTGTTGTAAAAATAAAGTCGTATATACATTTAAAATGGAGACAAGTTCTTGCCCCAGCACAAAAAAAAACATTTTTTGCTTTTTGTTTCTTTTTTTTTTCTGAAAAGAAAAAAGATTAAGTATTAGCCTTATTTTTCTCAATACAACTCAGTTCATTACTAAGACTTGTGCCACGAGAATAGAAACGTTGATTATAATTATAGCAATACTCTTTAATAAATTATGACTTCTGATGTGTATGAATCATCTTCGTGATTAGGTGTGATAAAACAAAAATAAACGATTTGCCTTATGAATGTCTGTTCTCCACGAAGCGAATAGGATATGAAACCAACAGTTTACAACCGAAGAGCTTCCGATGGATGGTATGTCATCATCGGAAAATGTTGTGCACAGGTTTTGAATTACACTTTTCTCAGTCTTTCTTCCTTACAATCAGTCTTACGATGCCGTCTGAAATGGATATACGGATCTAGGAAAATTGTCCCCTTCCTTCTTGAAATGACTGTTTGGCCGACATCGAAATCACATCCTTGATACAGTGCTACGGCGTGATCATTCCCCGTTGTGTCGTAACTTCGACGTGAATAATTCGGGCATTCCAGTTACATTTCAATATCTGGCGATAAGGCTCAATAATATCTGCAAGAAACAACCTCGACACCATATATAAGAAGGCCTTTCCCGACGCGGAATAGAACAAGATGACGGTAATTATAAATAATAGTACAGTAATTTGTTGTTGGTTTCGTAATATTCTTTCAAACTTTGGGATTTGGGGAAGGGATTGGTGAACAGGGTGACCCTAACGCGCATCCCTACACAACAACGTCCGACCCCACCGGCGACAAGCCGGCTGCGGAGCCCCCCGCTGTGATCCCGGTCACCCTGTAGTAAAATAGAACTCAAAAAAGTCCTATCTAGTTGGAATTAGAGGTTTTCGACGGTACCTGTCGATATTAAAATACCCCTTTTCTAAAGATTTAAAGAAGACAAAAGAGTTGAAAGATCCTCCAAAAGTATCAAATAATCTTAATCTAAAAACTCAAATTACTCTAAAGAAACAATAAAAAAAATTAGGAGAGGGTCAGTCTGTTGAGATGCAAATCGTATACATTTTTAGTTAAGGCCCTTAAGCATGGGGGAAGGGGTCCTTATTGTCGTTGGTAATAATTTTAACATAAATTAAGGAATGGCTAAAGCAAGATGAAAATTTCAAAACTGTTTGCACTTTGAAAACGTCTTAATTTAGCATATTGTGCCCAATCGTGCATGCCAAAGGCTTTGTTTTGTTTTTTACCGAAAAATTGGCAAATCAAACAAAACACGCGCGCCAAACAACACTTTTTTTACGGGTATGGACCAATAAGAGAACGCCGAATGTGGAATAGAAATTCGACGAATACGTAAAGCAAGTTTTCAAGTAAAGCAACTTTTAAACATGCCTAAATAATTAAAGCGACTACTTTAAGCACACATCACATTACGAAATAAACAATCTAATCAAAAGGTAACAGACAAGGGCGGACTCAATCCGCATGGAATGAAGTTAATCTACTGGGTGTCCCAAAATCTGAGGCACTAGTAGAGGGGCTCGACAGCACTCCTCATGACTTTAATTTTGAGACACTCTGTACATGCGAAAGAAGATAAACAAAGGTTTCACATTTTCAGCAGAAATCCGTCCTTACTTTAAGGGTGTCGCACAGCGTGACCAGCACGCTGGACCAAACAAGAACGCTACAAAGAATAGAAGAACACTTATCAACTAATCGTATTTAAACTCAAAACAATGATTAACAAGGATCGAAAGGCAACTTTTGGGATAAAAACGACACTGCGGTACTAACATACAGCGCATTTCGTACCAACAGGTCACAACTCGCTGCTCTCCCTTATTGGTCAACCCCGGAGAACAGCAACAAACACACCCAGCAATACAAAAGTGAGCCGAAGAGCGCCATGGGGTGCACGCTGCGCGGCGGGTTGCCGCGTTCAGACTGGTTCAGACGCAGTGCCTAGCAGTGCCACACCACCACGCTCCACCACGCCCCCCGCGGGGAGGCGCATCGTATACGTCGAGTCGGAACTGTGTGTCCACACAGCAGTTTCCAAAAAGAGGAGGGAAAATAGAAAACTTTTTGGCAACGCTCTTGTGTCACCTCCTTGGAGGAGGAATCAGAGTCACGCATGGCCCCACAAAGCCCTACCTGCACCGCACGCCCTACACGAAGCGGAGGCCCCACGACCGTCGGCCGCGAGCTCTGCCGCGGGGCCGGTACGCGACACCGTAAGGCCCCCCGAAGGGGTACTGTCCCGGTGGCGGCGGCCCGTACGGCCCGTAGGGGCGGGCGTCGGCCGCGGCGGCCGCGGCGGCGGCAGGCCAGTTGTTGTTGCCTCGCGCCCAGAGGGCGCTGGAGGCGTCGGCCATCAGACACGGCAGGCAGGAGCATTTGGAGGCCCGCGGCACCTAGTGCGAGTTGTGGTTGGGCGGCGTGCCGTGGGGCGTGCCGTGCGCGCTGTGCGGCGGCGCCATGGGCAGCGGCGGCGCCAAAGGCAGCGCCGGGTGTTGCGGCGGAGGCTGCAGGTGCAGGCCGGGCCCCAGCGTGCCCGGCCCCGTGTGCGCGGAGCGGTAGTGCGCCTTGAGCGAGTCGATGCGGTTGTACGAGTTGCCGCACTGCGGGCAGTAGAAGCGCTCCTGGCGGTGGGTGTGCGAGTGGTGCCATGGGTTCGACACCTCCTTGCCGCACTGCCGACAACGCCATTTTTCGCGGTCCTGCACCGTCTGCGGCGGCACCCGCTCGAACATGTCCTTGTACGAGGACGACTTGTAGGAGGTGCGGGCCTGTGGGCGCGCCCGGTCAAGCGGCCGGTAGCGGTGCTGCATCGGCTGGTCTGTGGACAGATAATGGCACGACAGGTCACGCGACACGCTCTGCAAGCCCCGCCCGCCCCGCCCGGCCATGGCCATGCCACCCCATGGCGGCCAAGCGCGAAGCAACGCACTGTCTCTCTCTCTCATCACAGAACCAGGACCATAGTGTGCCCTCTAGAAACTCGGCGACACTCAGGTGCTCGGCGGCGCGGACCCTATACCCCGACAACGGCAAAGCGAGGCAAGCCGTGCCAGCCGTCATGCGGTCTCTTTCATTACACCCCGAAGTGACAAAACTACCGGTAAACAGAAAAGTAAAGAACGAGGCCCGAGGTCGACCGGCGGGGTGACAGAGTCACGAGGACGAACGCGCGGGACGCGTAAATTTAAGCCATGCAAAAATCTACGTTTGACTGTGCAGACAAGGATATAATGGAACAGAAAGACCGCCTTCACCGAAACACAGAAGCACCGAAGAGCAAGTTGCTTGTGGAAACCATACATAGTTTGAGAAGAAGAAAACTAAGTAAATGACAAAGAAGATAATCCGCAGGAAGTGAGCACACTCCTCCCCCGAATCAAAGATTAAAACAAACAGAAACTTGAACGTAGTGCAGTCATCTTCCTAAAAGGAGCATCCCTGGATTTTCCGTCCGTCGCGCTAACACAACACTGGCCTCGGAAGGTCTTCGCGGTCGCAGAGTGGGCATGCGGCAGCTGCCCACAATGAACCACAATGAACCCGGGTTGAGCGGCGCGGCGCGCGGCCTACCTCGCCCCTGGCAGCCCTGGCGGAGTGCTGCACGCTGATTCCGAAAAGTGCCTTCCCTTGTCGCTGTCTCTCCCCCACTCCTAGGAACGGCCCGTGAGTGCGAGAAAGACAGTGCGTCAGTAACACAGTTTGCAATCGGCCTGCTGACAGCGCCTCACCGTAGAGCGGCGTACCTCGGGAACTTGGGAAAACGTCTGCCCCGGATTTCCCGCTCGACGGTACCGCCGCCCTTCACCACCGCCAACAATTATTTACAGATTTTCACAAAGGGGTAACTAGAGTCACTAACTACAAACTAGGTCTTGCCACAGAACCAGATCACACTTATATAAAGAAAGGCAGTGCTGAAAAAAAGAAATTAAGTGTACATGAGAATGACACATTCGTAAACCTTTTGTCTCCATCGTCTCTACACGTTGTAAATACAAATATTTCAGTTTATCCTTTTTTAATGCGAGGTTTCTTTTTATGGTGAATGGCGTTGGATGCTACGGTGACATTAGTCATGGTAGATATAGGTCGATAATATAGGAGTTGGTGTCACCTTCATCTTGATGAAAAAAATAAATTAAAGTATGTGTCGAATGGAGGATCTAAAAAGAAAAGTAAAGTTGCACTAAATGAAAGAAATTGCACACACACATTCCTAAAACTGAGATGTAGGGAATAACAACAAAAACAAATGGAAATGATTTTATGTGTTTTATTAGTAAGCTCAGAAATAATACATAATCAATGTGAACAATGTGAAAGTTTGTTTGGTTCCACAGCTGACTTAGATAGTATTCCACATCCAGGTACCACAAACTGTACAAATATGTCATAGAAGAGACAAGCCTATGTTGCCTCCAGGAATGTCTGTAGTCTACTTCTAAAGATAACACATGATTTGACACAGCAACGTTCCAATCCTTAACAACTTACGAACAAAAATATGCCTGACTTGCACTGTTACTGATCGGATAGATTCCAGTGAAGGGAAAGAAAAATGAGCAGGCTCTGCCAGCATTGAGTAAAACTGAACACATTGACATCACATTGAAAAATAAAATCAACAGAAAAGACAAAATGTTTCTTTAGACCCTGTTCAATTTTTTTTAATTCTATCAAATTTGGCATATTTGGCACAAGTTGTCCTTAACTCCTTATCACACACAAGTATAAAAGCATTCCACTATTCCTTATTGCACATACAAAACAGAACTAAGGCAAGAACCTGAAACTGAGTCAATGAAATATGGTTATCTCAAAAAGTGTTTCAAGTCAATGTGTGAGTAAGTAACACATGTGTTAATCACATCGGTCCAAGATGTTGATTTACTGACTAAATTAATAAGCTCACTTTCATTGCACTGCCATGAGTAAGTCAACAAGAGCTGTCTTGAAATAGTTGTTCAATTGCAATATTCAAACAGAAGAGAAAAAAATTAGCAAAAGAAGAAAAATCCACCTGCTCAGCTTTAAGAATAACTAAATGTTTCACCTTTCTCCCTTTTTATGATGGCTTATTATCTACTTAATACATTACAAAACTAACAAAGTTATACGCTTTTCAAAGATGTATTGACAGTATGTACAACGTATATTACACTCAATCTACCCCTCTCAATAAAACATTTACCAGGTTCGTTAAAAATAAATATATTTTACATATAAAAGTGTGGACCTTAGGGCAACTTGCCCAGCAACACTTTGCATCCTAATACCATTTTAATTGTACAGTTAAAAAAATCCTCACAATCTAGACCAGCTGGACGGATATCAACATAGCTTTCACTAAATTAAAAAAAAGAAAAGAATCTTCCCCTTTGCATTAAAGAAAAAAAAAGTTAATTACAACACATAAGAAACATAAAGGCATTATTATTATTAATGTTTTTGATACTTGGTAACTTATGGTAGTTCAATAATAACTGATATCATCTATAGAATAAAATCACATTTTTAGTGGACGATAATTAATCGTAGCCATCCTTTCACATACTCACATTTCCATCACTTCCTAAACTGAGTGGAATTCCCATACAAATAAATACTATATGACAAACAGCTAATCCATGGAAGTTACTAGTGCAAGTGAGCAAGGAGTTCTCATCATTTGGACCATACCTAAATTATAATGAGTTCCATCTTTCACAGTGTTAAGAGAAAATAATCACACACAGTGAAAACATTTTATACCTTGAAAAAGAAGCGTGTAATCTTCCTGCCTTTCTTTTCCCACAATGGGCATATGCACAGAAATATGTGAGTGAAACTACATGTTTAGCAACCCCATCACCTTTCTGAATGGTGAGCCTGCGGTTACATGTACAAATTTTAGAAGTACTTATCAATCAAAAGAATAAATTCTAAACTGTCAAGGTCAAAGCCATATGTTAACATGGTTCTGTTGTTTGTTAACAGGGAGAGAAAGCTTACACGCTTTTCATTTCAGTGTATAGGACTCATGACCAGAGTGCTACACAATATGGGCATATTAGAGAGATATTTCAGTAGCCTACAATTATCAAAGAGCCAATTTGCTACTTTTTATGGCATATGATACACTGACTATTTTGTGCTGGCAAGTGCCCTTCAAGGGACATTTCAATTGAAAAGCAACAGAGAGCACTTGCAGCAACAGTAGGTGACCGCTTTTAATTTGTTCGCTTAAACCTATTGGGTGCTTACTACACTGATTGATTCGCTTTTTGATCTATTTCCTTCTTCCCAAAATATCTTGCTAAATATTAAATATAAAATGACATCTTAAGCCAAAGAATTCATTTTGTTTGTTTTTAGTTTTATAGCAAAAGACACAGATTCCTTAACATACATTTCAAAATCACAATGATAAGTATTAAGTTTTGGCGTGAAAGACAAAAGAGTCTTCCTAGAAAATATTTTAATGTTATGTGGATATAGATATAGATGTTGTAAGTTATGAACCTGCACACATAACAGAAGAGAAACGGGGAAAGTGAACCAATGGTAGCAAAATGTAGATCCCAACACTCCACAAGAGAATAATTCCAGTGTTGATCGACACAGCCTAAAACTCGTAACATTCACTAAATCCGCAATAAACCAAAATGTTATTGAACAGGAAAATACTCACACTCAAACTAAACAGATTTTTCCGATAAAAATGATTCACACCACTTCTTAAAATTGAAATTACAAGATGGAAATCAGTCCTTTAAAAATAATACCCTTGTTACTGCACACTTGACATGGGTCCTTACATAATGAGCACCAACTGTCGAAACAAACAATAAGAATTTCACAAACAATAAACACAAAAAGGTAGTCATTCCACAGTCTTAAAAATCGGTTAAATGCTATTGGCATGTACATTATTACAACTCTTGAAAACCACAAAAAGAGAGCTATGAAACACTGCAAAATGATGGAATACCATACGCGACCAGGGACTCCAAGAAGTATAACGAAGAAGAAAAAATCAAAGGAAAATTCACCATTGACCAGAATTTAGAATTTTCAAACTGAGAGAAGGGAGACCAACTAATATAAATAGCTACTTCGAACATTATTCACATGGCTAAAAGACAGATTCTGGTCCCTAAAGTAGAAAACAACTATTCGTTTTGTAAAATTCCGTCCAATGTTTGTTTGTTGCAAGTGTGGCAACTGAATGGCATCAAAATGAATGGGCAAAATGAGATACGTATGCATCAAGAAAATCAGGTGCAAAGAACATTATTCTGAGCTGTCCCTAAAGGACGTACATGCAGATCTAAAATCTACCAACACAGAAAATTAAATCCAATCAAACAATACAATTTAGTAAGCTGGGTGCAAATGGATCCATACATTTAGCATGTGCTTCTGACATGGTTCTTAATGGTTCCTATACATTTAAGTAAAAATTATTTGATTCATACTGTTGATTGCAGTGCTATTACCACACAATGGCAATCCTTGTTCTTGTTGGGCATAATTTGAATATTTTTAGAAGACAACAAATGATGTTTCTCATGCAGAGAACCTTACTTTACTAATTGATACCAGCCTTGAAATTATGTACAAGTAGTAATGTAAAAAATGTAAGTACAGTGAATGGTGCAAACAGTACAAAATGTGGGATATAGCACTGGCATTCAACCTCAACCAGCTGATAATAAAAGCATATAGCTCAGTGTATAGTTGAGCCTAAAGTAGTTGATCAAAATTCTCCAATGCATACCTATGTATGATGTCTCTTTCAGTCCTTTGCAGTTTTCTAGCCAACAGGCAATACATTAAGGTGGTTGCAACACATAAACAATCACAAAAAAAATTAAGATGTAAGCCAGACTTAGTCATTTATTGGGACTGCCTCAAAAAGCAGTCCTTAAAGAGATTCGTTATTGTGACCAATTTCTTGATAAGTAATCTAATGTTGCAAGGCGCTCCAATGCACTATTTTCTCAGTTAATTGGAGATATTTGAACCACACATGTTAATATCCACAAAATCTTAAATAACTGAAGCACAGCTCAATTAGAGATACATCAGACCATTCAATGCTGAAAAGTCCATTGGAGTCCAATTTTGTTTCAGGATAATTAAAACAGAACCACAACCTTATATTAAGTTAGACAAGCATACTTGCGACTATTCAAGAAACAGCCTGCCATTACATTCAGTTGAGAGATCTGTTCTACTGCTTTTGAGAAAAATTTTATACCAGCCAAAAATGAAAATAAAACTTCATCATAAGTAGGTAGACAAACAGAAAATGTTGTAAAACGAGATTATGAATGTTGGTATGGATATTAATATCCACATCAAAATGGGTCTCTGAAAACATTGTTGCAAAGTGACAACGTCTGCAAACTCCTCACTAGCCATTAAAACTTGAATTTGTTGAAATAGCTACTCACATATATACATAAAGAGCATTTTTCGTTCTGTGTACTGTCACAGCCAATCAAAACACAGATATCCAATCTACACATATACATATGCGCAAGCAAATCCATCCAAGCCGACTACAATACACAATATTGACTGAGGGGCTGACTGCACTATGTGATACTGAGCACAAAAGAGTAAAGGTATCAAATCTTTGTTTCAGATTTGCGACAACTACTGGCAAAGGACCTACAGTTAAGTACACAGCTTCTAACAGCACCTTTATCACAAGGAAACAGCACAAGTATCCAGTCTCTGAAGTTTACGAACAAAGCTGAAAGAAACTTGTACATTAGTCACACTACTTCCAATTGAGGCCCACTGCATATGTGAGTATGCACATGTTTTTATTTTTGTATAAAAAGGTACCCCCCCCACACACACACATACACACATCCTTGTCCAGTGCCAATTTAATGGTTTCATTGCGCAGAACTTCTCTGGACTAAGGCAAGAACTTTGGTCATTGGCATGGCTTAGACTACAAACACAAACCTACCCAACTATGACAAGGTCACAAAAATGGGATGGTCAGACTAACTTATCCACTGAAACTTGCATCATTTGAGCTCATCTTCACAGAATTCAAAATTGGTACAAGCAATATTAATGCATGTGTATTACACATCCATTTTGAGTGCGTATATACAGGGCCTTAACTTGAGCTGTGCGTAGACAGTTACCATCCTCAAAAGATATAAGATATTTAAATATCATGATTTGGCCAGAAATGAGTATTGTATAATGACAGTTAAATTCACTTTAAGCTTTAACTAACAAAACCACATTACAGATAAGTACACACATAGACTTGAGTGCACATAGCACAAGAGTTTAATAGAAAAAGGTACACAATTTGATTAATTTGCAAGACATTAGGTCTATACACATATAAATGAATCACAGCATACATTTAAACATACAGAGTAACAATCATACACAACATCTTATTATATAGCAAGTAAGAAGAGCACAAATCAACAAACACTTTTTCAATGGAAATAACGAAAATAAAAATATAACTTTATATATATTTGTATATATATTGTGTGTCTATATAATATATCCATATTTATCTATATAAAAATTGTTTATTTCAAATGGAACGACCATCGCTCTTTCTTAAACCAAATTTGACTCAAAATGTCAAAAAGAAACAAAAATTGAGATTTGCATAAGTGTTGCGCTTGTCATACTGAGCACATTAAAGGTGCAATGCACCCATTAATGAAGTACGATGTATTACACACAATATTGTGTGTGGTACAGAGATAGAAGAAAAACTAAGGAGCCAGAAGGCTGTTAAGAAATGAAAAGGAAAAAAAAATGAGAAAACTATGTAACAAATATAGATTCTTTACATAATATGTTAATTCTTTTTTTCAGACTAGAAAAAGTTCGTTAAAGGATTAACAAGAAGAGTGGCATTTCAAATTCAGAGATTAATGCAAACATGACAAAGAAAATGTGTTTGATGTTGAATTTGAATTTTTGAAGTACTTGAGACATTTCTAGAATAATGAAAAACAAATATTAGCCTTCATGTGGAAACTGTAGGCATAGATGTTAGGTTCTTGAAACACAAGGTCTGAGATACATAAACTGTAATCCTAATATTAACGCGGTGATTGTTAACCATTTCCAACCCTCACTTATTTTTGACACACAAAATAGCATCATCACATCCATGAGAACATTCTTGAAGAGGTGATGCTACATACCATCACAAAATGCTGCATCGAAAAAATTCAGAGGAGAAGAAACAGAACTAGAAGACCACAACGATTTCAACATCAGCATTCAGAACAGAATGGGACAGTTTCCTCATTCAAGTTGCAACAAACCACGGGCGCCCTCTTCTCATATACCAATCACTTCCTTTCAGCAAGAGGCTCCCAGCCTCCGTTGCAACCCAATCGAGGCACCACGCTACGCCACGCTACGCCACGCTACACCATGCACCAGGGGGTAGAGAAGAGCACTTAGGGAGGGGCGCCGGGCCCGGGGAGGTGGCCGAGGTGGGTCGAGGCTGCGTGGAAGTCCATTTGCCTTGCGTCCCACCAGGCCCTCCACGGATGGAGCAGCCCACCGAAGCCCATGCCCATTCCCATGCCGGCCATTGGCCCAAAGGCTTCGTACACAGAGCGAGAGTAGAAGCCCAGGCCCAGGTCCGGGGCCTGTTCTCCTCCTCCCGCTCTGGCTAATCTTCAGGAGGATTTGTCACTGGCATCCTCGGGGTCGCGGTCCCTGTCGACCCTGTCGCGCTCTCCGTCCCCCATGTGCTTGAGGTCGCGTTCCCAGTCGCGCAAGCTGCTGGACCGGCCACTGCCAGCGGAGCCGCCCCCACCGCCGGAGCAGCCCCCGCCCCTCGAGGTGGTGGCGAGGTCCTGGGCTCCCACGGAGGCCGGGGCGGAGGACGGGGATGGCAGAGAGCCCGTGGGCGGGCGCGTGACGAACTTGCTGAGGTCCGGGTTGAACAGCGGGTGCTTGAAGCGGCAGTGCGTGCGCAAGTTGTCGCTGCGCGTGTACGTCGCGTGGCACAGGGGACACTCGAAGCGGCCGGGGAAGTGCACGTGGTAGTGGTTTCGGACGTGCGTCACCACCTTGCCGCACAGTCGGCAGCGGTGCAAGTTGTTGGCCACCCCCTGGATCCGCTCAAAGGTCAGCCGCATGTGCCACACTTTAGACCCTGCGAAGGAGAAAGGGCCGTGTGTCACAATGGATACCCTGGTTATAATGTTAGTGACAAGCCCTGCTGCCGTTTGCGTGCCCATGGCCCATGGCCCAGGGCCGAGAGTGCCTTGCCTAGCCGTGCGGGGAGACCAGCGCCAGCGTCACACACCACTCTCCAGCACACCAAACAGTACATCGCCCCGGCCATGCCCTGACCCACTCCGCCCTCGCCCGGCCCTGCAGGCCCCGCAGGCCCTGCCTAAGGGCCAGCCCCGCCCCGACCAGGACACCGTCCAGGACAAGGCCCGGCCTAAGGAGCCCCAGGAGCCTCAGAGAGGCGGCGAGAAACTTCACGAGACGTGCCCACCACTGCAAAGGAAGCCAAGGGCAGGGTGGGGCAGGACAGGACATACACCATTTTGCGAGCGCCCCTCGGGGTTATAGCGTCCATTTCTTAAACCCACACATGCTTGTTAAGTTTGATTGATCCATTTTCCCTTTTGTCTAACTCCACAGCAGAAAGGATCCGTCTAAGAGACTTAGGATCCTTTACCCTATCCAGTCTGCTCATTTAACAGCTTACGCAGTTCGAGGTTGGCTCTACCCTATATTATCATACAAAGTTAGGAAAACGCTTCACAATTTAATTTCTTACAAAATTTACATTTATTTTTAAAAACTGTAATATGCTCATGTCCAATCTGATGAAGCCATGATAAGATCAATTTAAAAGACTTTGAACATGTTTAGGATGCAACTCGAGCCACATGATAGATGAAGGTATTGAGTAGCATGCATATTGCACCCATTTAATGAGATACTCTGACAAAAACATGCAGCAGCAATGACATTTAGAGGCCAGTCTTTGAAGTTGTGCTGTATCTGAAGACTAAGTAAACCAATCGTTCAAACACAATAAATAGGAAGTATAAATTTAAAAGAAAAAAATGTTTTGCTATTTTAATGCAGCATGTGTGAAGAGAAATATGCACAAAATTGTCAAGGCACACAATGCTTGGAAACAAATTGGTGCCACTCTCCCAAATGTATTGTGCCCCCTTGACAATGCACAACTTTCACACAATGATGTCAAATTCACTGAACAATTAAGACATAGAAATGTTCTTTATAACTGGTATTCGAGTATATTCAGATATTCAACAACAAAATTTTACCAAGGTGCTGTTTTTCACTGATTTGATCACATACATTTTTGGCCCCACTCAACAAGCATTCCTCTGAAAAATCTCTGTCAACTTAGATGATAAAACTTAAGCATTAGATATTTCTGAAGATCTCCTCCTGCCATTGGATCTCTATATTTTCACTTTATTTCCCATCATATTTGTCGACATGTTTAATAGAGCAAAAACTATTGGTTTTCCATTGCCTTCAGAGATCAGCAGTTGAGAATACATGAATGAATGAATGAATGTATGTATGTATGCTAAGGTAAAAACTGAATGATTCTGATTTTTTTTTTTTAGAACTCGATCAACAGATACAGGTAGCAGCTTGTGAATGAAAGAGGAATGCCAGAATAGAAATACATACACAAGCAAAATCTTAACAGCCATGATGGAAGGAAAATAGAAGATCATGTGCAAATTAACAAGTCCCTTGGAAGTGGCAATTGGATAGGTGAGCTTTGGTATATTACTAGGAGACAAAGATTGAGGCTCATTCATAATACTGTTGCCACGAAACAATTTATTGCTTAGCTAAAGAAATATACATATAGCTTGGATGGTCGTCATTAAGGAACGAAGAAGTCGACACAGAAGATTCACACAATAAAATTGCTATGTCCCTTACAAATCCTCCAACTTTCTCACAAAGTCAGTTTCGTAACAATAAATTATGGCGCTGACACTAGCTTTCTCTCTCTTCTCCCACATTTCAATAAAAAAATATAGGTAAGGTTCATGAAAATATCTAAAACTAAGATAAAATTTATATAGACACATTTGTACATTTCCTATTCCAATTATCATAGAAATCAAAGAGATTTTAAAACGCTGGGACTAATAAACTTTTAAAATGCAGTGAAATTAAAAGAAGGAAAAGGAGTCAAGATAAAACGGACACAAAGAAAGAAAGCATCCAAAAACCATAGACCATAGGGAGATTTGCTGAATAATGGCTCAGTATGAAATGGTTGTGATGAATGAAATGCATGATGATATTTTGTTTATCAACAGAAGTGCCTTGAACATCATTTTTGCCTCTACTCAAACCAAAAGGGAAGAGACAGGGCGAACAAAGAGGGGATCAAAAATAGTAATGATTAGGTAAAGACAAACTAAAATTATGGATAGAAAAAATTTACAGACTTGCTCAGATGAGATACCCATTTTCAGTTACTTTGCATCAAGATCATACAGTACAAATTTCTTTAAAAAATTTACAACAAATTCATAGCACAAGTGTCAATATAAATAACTTAGATAATAAATTAGGTACAATGTGTCATAGGGTAGAGAACTAAATTAATGCCTTTGGTATCAACCATACATAAGGATGCATGGGCAGCAATTTTCAAGTAAGAAACATATACCATCAATGCAATGGCAGCTAGACTGCAGGACTGCCAATGCACTACATTACAGAAACAAAACACAGGGAGTGCTGGAAATGTTGCAGCATAAGATTAAAAAGGCACTGTTACTCCGATAAATTGAACCAACAATAAAATGGTAATGCAAAACATGACAACCATTTGAGATACTGGTTTCAATGAAATCAGATGATTTTTCCTCCCTATTTCCAAATATTTATGAATCAGTCGGAGTAGAGAGGCCATCGGTTTCACTACTAATCTGTTCAGGGGTAAGTTTGTGTTTCATGCGCATGTGACGCTTAAGATTATCAGCCCGGGTTAGGGAGAGGGGGCACAATGGACAGGGGTACTTTTTAAGAGCATGCATTTTGTGATGTCTTTCCTTATCTGTCACTATTTTGCAGCAAATTTTACATCTAGCTAGTCCATGAGATAAGTCCTCAAACATTTGCGTAAAGTCTTCAATAGATAGTTCAACTTCTGCCTGTGGATAAAGGAGTCCTGGAAAAGAAAGAAAGAAAAAATGTAGCACTTATTACCACTGGCTGTGAATGATAAAATTAGAATAATTGTAAAACCAAAAGGTTGTACAATACCAAGATTTAATTTAGATGCTTCAAAATTTGGACGTTTTAAAAATTCAGCTTGGGTAGATTCAAGTATATTATTATATTTGTGACTTGCTTGGAAAAGATTGTGATCAGCACCTGCCACTCTAATACTACTCTACATGTTTGAGTCTACAGGAAAGACAACACTACTTCAAGAGGGGACTTATACATGCATAACTGTTGTGCCAACACAACATACTTGTAGAGAAGAAATATTCTGATGCCAATGACATAGTCTTATCCACCAAACAATCTGTCGAAAGTTCCATTTCTTATAACAAATTTAATAGAGTACAGAAGAAGAAAAGAAAAAATGTAGGCACATAATAAGCAAAACAGGAACCTGATGGTTGTCTGACATCTTGAGTGGCGGTTAAAATACAGCTGGAAAGCACAAAAGAAACCGATGATGTGATGATAGATCATAGCATAAATTATAGACAGACAACGTCTCAATTTTGGATGCTAGAGAAACAAGATTCATTCATAAGAAAGGGTGGGGGAGCTTGATTACTGCTTAAAGAACTCACACTTTTCAAATTAGTATTATTTTGTGCACAATACTGATAAAAAAAATGTTTAAAAAGGGTCAGAGCTGTCACAAAGGATAGTCTGGGTGCACAGCTTTAATGTGACGCTTTAAGTTGTCTGGCCTAGAGCGAAACACAAAGCAGACAGGGCACTGAGCCTTCTCATTTGAATGTGTTGTAAAATGATTCTTCATGTGTGAGACAGCCCTGCCACAGATCTTGCACATTGTCAATCCATTGGGAAGTTTCTCAAAAAATAGTTTGTGGGACAGTTCGTGGCTTGATGATGTTTGAGCAACTCCTGTAAACCACAAAACATATGTGTTACACACATTGTTCCCACCCTACTCCAAGAAATCAAAGGAAAACGTTAAATAAATAGATAACTTCAATAATTCCATCTTGGGTCTTTGACTGACAGCACGCCATGCACATGGAGGCATTATCAGTTCACATGCACATAATAATGTTAGGTATGTACTGGAATGTGCTGGGAGTATGATAGTCCCTGGGTAGACCCAAATTGTACAGACTTCTACAGCGCTCACTCTAACCCTGGCCCCAGAGAGCAATAATATGTACATGTCCAGCACCTTCAAGAAGCTATTGCATACAATATTTCTTCTACATAGAGGCGAAGGACAGAATTTGAGGAACAAGTGAACTTAATAAATAACTAACTCTTCTTGTGTGTTTAAAAACAGTTGAACAACTCAACAACTCTTGACACAGCACATTGCTCAGATCATTCTTTTAATCACTCACAGCATACACTGAATTCACACTGTGATTGGCAAGGTGAAGTCACGATTCACATACTGTACCAGGGTTCCACACAACGCGCAATGTTTAACACAAAGACTGCACAACTCAGTTGCTACCCACTTATGATTGGATTAAAGGGGAAAAAATTAGGGACAAGATAATAACGTTGCAATCTAGAGAAATGTATACACACAACACAGGTAGCAAATGGAGTTGAGATACCTACATTGTGCTCATAACAACAAATTACAGGAAAACAAGACTGTTCCCATGGATTAGGAGTTCACGCAGATAAAGACAGCTTAGTTTTTTTTTTTTTTTTAGACATTTAACGGGAAAGAAAAAAAGGCCAACCCACAAAGGAAAACAACAAACTAAGAAATGATAAGGATTAACAGAAGACAGTAAAATGTTCAATATAATAGTTTTATTATATAAAATATTTTTCCAAAACGGGTACAAATTTAACAACTTAGAAAACAATAATCTGTTAATATAAATCCCTGCACCTTGGACCACTAATCAAATCAACAAAAATTTTTTTTTCAAA